CTGGCCACGCCCCTGCGTTGGGAGTTGAGGGGGGGGTACAACCGGCCGGGGGGGGGGAACCGAGGGGGCTCCTGAGGTGCGGGGGTCCCGGGGTGGCCCCAACACCCGCTCCCGTGTGTGGGGCGCTTCGGCTCTACCGGCAGCTCTGCCCCCCCCCCCCCGCCCCGCTGGGGCTGCAGGAGCCGCCGTGCCGCCCGCTCCCGGTGAACCCGCGGCGGAGGCGGGGATGGCCACGGGCCGGTGACGGCGGCGGTGACGGCGGCTGAGCGCGGGGCGGCCCCGGCGCAGCTCCCGGCACCGCCTCCCGCCCGGGGCCGCCCCGCCCGGGCCGCCGCCGCCGCCGGCTCCAGCACCGCGGAGAGCGCGGGCAGCACCGGGGACAGCGCCCGCGCACCGGCAGCGGCACCGGCAGCGGCATCGGGCCGCCCCCATGGCGCTGCTCCGCGTCCTTTGCCTCCTCGCCGCCCTCAAACGTAAGTGCCGGGGTTCGGGGGGGCGGGAACCGGCACCGGCACTGGCGCGGAGGGGACTGCACCAACTCCCTATTGCACAGACCCGTCCGGTACCGACCACGCACGGTCTTGGTGTGGACCCGGTACCGGCTCCCTCCTGCTGCCCCGCCCCGCCCGAGGCTCCAGGCCCGGTCCGGCCCCGAAAGGCTCCGCAGCCCCCAGGGGTCCCCATTCCCCTTCGTTGCCCCGAGAGCCTCAGCCCGGAGCCGGGAGAGACCCCCCCCCCCCGTGCTCAGCCTCCCCCCCTCCCGCAGGGGGCCTGGGCACGGACACGGAGGAGCGGCTGGTGGAGTATCTGCTGGACCCGGCCCGGTACAACAAGCTGATCCGGCCGGCGACCAACGGCTCCGAGCTGGTGACCGTGCAGCTGATGGTGTCACTGGCGCAGCTCATCAGCGTGGTGAGCTGCTGGGGCTCAGCTCCCCGTCCCCCCGTGCCCCTTCCTCCCCCCCAGCACCCAGCATCACCGCTCCTCCATTGCTCTCCCCACAGCACGAGCGGGAGCAGATCATGACCACCAACGTTTGGCTGACCCAGGTGGGAGCTCTGGACCCTGCGCCGGGACCCCCCATTCACCCTGCCCCAGAACCCCAACTTCACCCTGCCCAGGACCCCCCATTCACTCTACCTTGGGACCTCCCTGCCCTGAGCCCCCTCATACCCTCCTGGGAGGGACCCCAGTGCCCACCCTGTAATGGGACACCCCCTCTTCCACCCTGCCCTGAAACCCTCCTGCCCCGGGACCCCCCTATACACCCTGGGTGGGACCCCAATGCCCACCCTGTGCTGGGACCTCCTGCTGCACCCTGCTCTGGCCCCCATGGGTGGGACCCCCTGGCCGGGCTGAGCCTGTGGCTCGCAGGAGTGGGAGGATTACCGCCTCACCTGGAAACCGGAGGACTTTGACAACATGAAGAAGGTTCGTCTGCCCTCCAAGCACATCTGGCTGCCCGACGTGGTGCTCTACAACAAGTAAGGGGCTTGTTTCTGGGGTGCCCCAACCCATCTGGGGCTCAGGGGGGGATTCTGTGGCACCGGTGGGGCAGGGAGAGGGCTGACAGCGAATCCCTTTGCACCAGTGCCGACGGCATGTACGAGGTGTCCTTCTACTCCAACGCTGTGATCTCCTACGACGGCAGCATCTTCTGGCTGCCGCCGGCCATCTACAAGAGCGCGTGCAAGATCGAGGTGAAGCACTTCCCCTTCGACCAGCAGAACTGCACCATGAAGTTCCGCTCCTGGACCTACGACCGCACGGAGATCGACCTGGTGCTGAAGAGCGAGGTGGCCAGCCTGGATGACTTCACACCCAGTGGCGAGTGGGACATCGTGGCACTGCCAGGCCGGCGCAATGAGAACCCCGAAGACTCCACCTACGTGGACATCACCTACGACTTCATCATCCGGCGCAAGCCGCTCTTCTACACCATCAACCTCATCATCCCCTGCATCCTCATCACCTCCTTGGCCATCCTGGTCTTCTACCTCCCGTCCGACTGTGGCGAGAAGATGACGCTCTGCATCTCCGTCCTGCTCGCCCTCACCGTCTTCCTGCTGCTCATCTCCAAGATTGTGCCTCCCACCTCCCTGGACGTGCCGCTGGTGGGCAAGTACCTCATGTTCACCATGGTGCTGGTGACCTTCTCCATCGTCACCAGTGTCTGCGTCCTCAATGTGCACCACCGCTCGCCCACCACGCACACGATGCCCCCCTGGGTCCGCACCCTCTTCCTCCGCAAGCTCCCAGCTCTGCTCTTCATGAAGCAGCCGCGCCAGAACTGCGCCCGCCAGCGCCTGCGCCAACGCCGTCACACGCAGGAGCGCGCCGGCACCACCACCGCCACCCTGTTCCTGCGGGCTGGCGCCCGGGCCTGCACCTGCTACGCCAACCCCGGTGCCACCAAGGCCGACAGGCTCAATGGGTACCGGGAGCGGCAGGGGCAGGCGCCGGCGCCCAGCTGCGCCTGCGGGCTGGAGGAGGCTGTGGACGGCGTGCGCTTCATTGCTGACCACATGCGCAGCGAGGATGATGACCAGAGCGTGAGTTGTGGCCAGCAGGGCTGGGGGGGCGGGCAGGGAGGGGGGGGGCAAGCAGGGCTGGGCGGGGCAGGCGGGGCTGGGGGTGTGGGCAGGGGTGGGGGGCAGGGCTGGGGGGGAGGGCAGGGGTGGGGGGCAGGCAGGGCTGGGGGGGCGGGCAGGGGTGGGGGGCAGGCAGGGGTGGGGAGGGCGGGCAGGGCTGGGGGGGTGGGCAGGGCAGGGGGGCAGGCAGGGGTGGGGGGGCAGGGGTGGGGGGAAGGCAGGGGTGGGGGGAGGGCTGGGGTGAGGGGGCGGGCAGGGCTGGGGGGAGCAGGCAAGGGTGGGGGGGCAGGGCTGGGGGGGGCAGCGCTGGGGGGAGCAGGCAGGGGTGGGGGGGGCCGGCAGGGGTGGAGGGGCAGGGCTGGGGGTTCAGGGCTGGGGGTGCACAGCTCGCACTGGTGCAGGGCTGCATCGCAGGAAGCGCTGTGCGGGTGCACTGAGGGGGGCTCTGCCTGGCCCGGGCCCCCCTCGCTGCTGCAGCCGCATCCTGGAGCTGCTCCCGCACGGCCGGGCCCTGCGCGGCACCGCGGGCGGGGGCTCAGGGCAGGGGAACGCGGCCCCCCCAAGGCCGGCTCAGTACGGGTCCGGCGGGGGCTGGGCCCGGGAGCTGCGGCGCTGATGGAGCCGGTGCGAGGCTCGGTCTGAGCTCCCGGTCCCCGGCCTGAGCCGGCCCCCTGCGGCCCCGCGCAGGTGAGTGAGGACTGGAAGTACGTGGCCATGGTCATCGACCGCCTCTTCTTGTGGATCTTCGTCTTTGTCTGCGTCTTCGGCACCGTGGGCATGTTCCTGCAGCCCCTCTTCCAGAACTACGCCACCAACTCCCTGCTCCAGGCTGGCCAGGGCACCCCCACCTCCAAATAGCGCCAGGAGGGTGGTCCCGGGCGAGAGCTGGGCTCCACGCAGCCGCTGCAGACCAATAAATGCTCACAGAGGACAGGGCTGGGTCCATTCAGCGTCACTGCATCCTGCGGGAAGGAAGGAGCAGGATGCGGTGAGGGCCTGGGCGCCTCCAGCTGCCCACGGCCAAGGTGAGAGGTGCCTGGGAGGAACTGGTTCTGGAACAGCAGAACTGCAGTTGCTGAGGGAGGGAGCACAGAAACAGGCTCCCTCCCACATCATCCGTCTCCTGTCAATGCAGTCATGCGGGCATGGGGCTGCCAGAGCCCTGTGTCACCCCCAGGGCTGCCCAGAGCTGGGCACTGGGGCACGGGGAGGAGGATGGAGCATGGACCAGGCAGGAGGATGCTTGGGTTTAGGTCCAAGCTGCAGGCAGGGCCAGGGGCTGCCCCACGCTCCAGCATCCATTCCTTGCTGCACTCCAGGGTTGGTGCACGGAGCCATGAGGCCAATTGGGCACAACTGCAAAGCCAGTGCAGGGGAGCGGGGCCGTGCTCAGCCCCGCGGGCAGGACCTGGCCTCGTTGGGGAGGTTCAACGGGAGCGTTTGCTATAAATAAATAGCACTAATCCTCGGTGCCAGGCAGCGCCGGCCCCAGGGCACCCGCACGCAAGGGATGAACCAGGAGCCCTTCTCCTCCCCAGGTACCCCCAGGGGAAAGTAGCCCTAAAGCAGCCCCACATCGTGCCCCGCTTTACCCTGTGCCCCCTCTGCCATCACTGCAGCCCTGGGAAGTGCAGGGCAAGGGGGTCCCACTGTGCCCCCATGAGGGACAGAGACCCCTGAGCACAACAGAACAGCACCCATGAGTGCAGCCAGAGTCATTGGGCTGCCAGGCTCAGCCTCTCTCTGGGGCTACACTTCCACACCGGCTGCTTCGTGGGCCCATCCCTAGGTCACAGAGGGGATCCTGCCCCTCTGCTGCACCCTGTGAGAGCCCCCTGCATCCTGCACCCATCCCTCGCCTGGCAACTGGGAACTCACCTCCACTCCCCTCCACCCCCCCAGTCCCACTGCAGGACCCCCCCCTCACTGCACAGACCCACCTCATCATAGAGAAACTGGCTTTTATTACTCTTAATGGGGAATGTCAGCAGGTGCTGGGGGGAGCACTGCAGAGCCCAGCCCCCCCACTAGAGACCCCCAAATCAGCCTTGATTCCTTAAAAGAGAAGATTTGCCCCCAAAGCAGCTCTGTGGGAACCAGGCCCAAGGGTGTGAGCTCGCAGCACCCCTCCGGCTTCTTGTGCCTTGTTCTGATATAAAAGTCAAGAGGAAATGGAACCATAAAAGCAAACAGGGACCAAACCTGCCCTGGCTTAGAAAAAAGGCAGCAACTCCCATGCATGTGTTAAAAAGCAAAAGGGCAGGGGCTCAGGTACAAGGGAGGAGGCAGTCAGGCCCCCAGGGGAACCTGCTGCACGCTCCTGCTTCCACCTCAGAAAGGTGGTGGTGGAAGGCTGCTGAGAGCCCTGCACGTGCCTGTGCACGCTGCACTCCCTCCACACACCCCCCCTGCCCCGAGGGCAGCTCTTTATGCCCCAGGGAAGGAGAAGTTGTCTTCCTCCTGGGGCTTGCGGATCCAGCTGCCGTAGCCCAGCTCCTCCAGTGTGCTGAAGAAGCTCTGCTTGGCCTCCTGGTATGCCCTGGCTGCCTCCTTAGCATCAGAGTACACCGAAAGGCTCTGCAGGTCCCTGCGGTTGGTCTTGGCACACAGCTGCTGGAACAGGGAGAACACTTCCCTCTTGGACACACGAGACACCTCCAGCTTGGGGCTGAGAAGGAAGGCAAAGGCAGCAATGAAAGATGTGAGCCTCGGAAGAGCAAAGAGGAGCAGGGAGCTTGGGGCAAAGCCCTCCATGGGCTGCTGCGAGGTGTCCTGTCTCAGCAGGGCTCTGCTGCTTCCAGCCCTCCCCACACAGAAGGTGCTGATACCAACACGGGGAGCACCCACAGCTTCAGAGCTGCCCCCTTCCCCCACTTGAAGAGCAGCATCAGGAACCGCTCCCTCTTACCCATCGACCTTCCCTTTGGTGCCATCCAGGACTTCGACTTCGCTCTCATCAGCCAGGCACCAGTTCACTGAGGACTCCTTTGTCTTGCCTGTCTGCCGTGTGGAGTCATAGACACTCACCCGCCCGACCTGCATCACAGGCAAGAAGGAGCCTCAGCATCAATCCTGCTGCACCAGCTCGCTGGGAACAGGGCACCCAGGGCTCCTTTACCCCAGAGCAAGTGATTGCCATGACAAAGGGAGCAGGTTTCAAGGCATCAGCCCCCCGAGCCTGCCTGGAGAGCTGCTGAAGGAGACCCCCTCAGGGGGGCCCCATGAGCAGAGATGGACGTGAGGATGGAGAGATGAAGAAATGCCAAGGCCACAGTACCTCCGGATGGTTGATGTGATACGGAGCCTGGAGCCTGCCTTGCAGCACGCTCCCATCCCTGGCCACGCGGCAGCAGATCGCACGTGTTAAGTGACCCTGACTGTACAAGTAACCTGTGGAGGGACAGACACAGAGGCATGAGGAAGCAGGGCCGGCACAGGCGAAGCCCCAAGAGCCACAGAGCTGCTCACGAGCTCCAAAAAGCTCAGAGCCACGTGGCTCAGGGACGTGGACCCTGGATGTGTAAGAGGAAGGTTTCAAGCCTGCAATGTTTTCCACCCAAGACACAAACCAGCAGTTTTTGTGTGATGCCCTCCCAGCTCACACGTGCCTGCTGAAAACCAAGAACCTGGGAGAAAAACCCACTCCACCCACAGCAGACAAGGCAAAAACTCCCTTTTTCACTTGCAAACAGCACAGCTCTGCCAAGAACGACGTTTGAGCCCCTTACTCCTCCAGCCTCTACAACGAAGCTTTCTCATCTCTTGGGGAAGGGAGGTTCCTTGTTGCTGCAACCCAGCTCTATGGGGCAGGGCAGCACATCCAGCCCAGGCCACGAAGGACGGTGGGTCTCCTACCAAGCGTAACAGAGCTGAGATAAACTGGTTCCAGGAAGTGTGACAGCAAAGCCCCTTGCAAGCCCAGCACGTTCCAGCGTAGGATCTTGTCACTGCAGGACATGGTGCGTAAGCGCTCCCCATGCTGGATCCCATCCCACGTGGGCACAATGTCACTGGACTCCACAGGAATGGTCCCTTCCCCTGCGCAAGAGAGGAAGAGTCAGGTACCCAAGAACCCAAAGCCCAGCAGCAACTTCAACAGGCACAGGGTGACCTCTGGAGTCACTCTGTCCCCAGCTCCGAGGAATGTGCTTAGAATATCCCTTTGGATAAAGGGAACCCATGTACTGAGGCCAGAGGAGTCAGTCTGAACATTGCTGCAGCAGAATGGAATCCTGCTTGAAAGGGAAGGCAGAGACATCCAAGCCTGGCAGCAAACATCAGCTCTCGCTAGTGTGGCAGCCTAAGTGCCTGAGGTGGGAAGGAGCAGGGACTCTCTAATGCTCCCACCCCTTTCCCCCACCTCCTTTGATTCCCGAGTGCTTCAAATCCCACAACAGCACCACAAAGAGAGGGGTAAGGAAGCTCTGGAGCTCCAGGAAGAAGATTTGGAGCCATCCCAAATGAGGGGAGTGAATGCACTCACCATTCTCCACCTTGGTCCGCAACTTGCCCTGTTTGGGGTTCTCAAAGAGGGGCTGATGCTGAGCCTGCCCCACCACGCTTGCCTGATCGCTGCAGGACTTATCAAAGAGAGCCCCATCTCCACACGGTGCTGTGCTAGAAAACAAATGCTCCCCAAGTTAGCACCGACCCTCAGAGAACAGCCAGGGCCTGGGGGGAGCCAGTGCCAGAGAGCAGTGCCCTGCACAGCCCCACACAAACCTGATGTAGAGGTGGAAGGTAACACCGCGCTTCACCTTGAGCCTCTTCCCTCCTGCTGGCTCAAAAATGCTCTCTTCTGCAGAGGAAGGATCAGAGGGGTTGTACTTCATCAGCTCACTATAGAGAAACCTGAGAGGAACACGTTCACATCAGGAGGCTGCTCTGCTCCTCAGACAAGGAATGCTTCAGTCCCACCACTGCCTGTGCCCAGGACAGGAGCGTCCCAAACTCTGCCTCTGTTGCACCAAGCTGCCTGATCCTGCTGCATGGGAGAGCAAAAACCTGACTTGTGGCCAGGAATACCTGGAAGCCAAGAAAGAGTTTCTGCTGCTACAGAAAAAGCACAAAAAGGAGCAGCTTTCCTGATGTGCAGAGGCCACAGCAGACAATGAGCACTGGCAGGAGAGGGAAAGGAGCCTGCCTGGCTGCTGAGTGCGTGCGTCTGAGCCGAGAGTGAAGCAGGCTTCAAGGTTGTTAACCCAGCACCTTTAGTCAGCACCACGTCTGCACTACCAGCAAACAGCCCCGAGGGCAGCCCAGCACAGGAGGTATTATTAGCACAGCCCATGATCTCTTTACAATGACGGGGTCTTTTGTGGCGGCTGCTGTCCAGGGACAGGCAAAAACGTTGAGGTTTCCAATGCAGCGTCAAGGACTAAGGAAGAACTGCAGCTTCCCAGAGGCTCCAGCAGAGCCTGGGCAGGGACTTACTCTGCAAGGAGAGAGGGAGCTCACTCTTTGATGTGTGGGCTCTGCTGTGCCACAGCAGCCACCACTGTCAAGATGAGAAGCTGAGACAGACAGGAAGTGAGAACAGCATCCTCCAACTTCCCACCTTCCCAGGGACCTGCTGCCAACACCTTCCAGGGCTGAGGAACGCAGAGCACCGCAGCAGCAGGCAAAGGCTTTAGGAAAGCAGCTGGGTTTGCTCATCAGAACGGGGAGAGCAGACATTGCCGAGGCAGGTCCAGCTCCAGCTCCCCTGCGTTTAAGAAGTGCCATGTGGAATTGTTTAGGAAAGGGAGCAGTTCTGCAGTTTAGCTGGGAAACCCCTTCCCAAGCGATGAAAGGGGTTCCTTTTACCCACACAAACATATTTGGAATGTTCTCCTGCAGCCCTTGGCCAGAGGAGGACCTGGCCTGCAGAATCCCCAGCACCTTGGCTCAGGCAGAGCTGGGCTCACACTGAAGCAGCGCGCCCTGCGCCAGCCAAGCAGCCCCAGCAAGCTGCTTTATTTTAGGTACATCAGATGCAGCCCTTGGGCTCTTGGCAGCTCTCCAGTTTGGTGCTAATTTGGGCACCATTCAGGCATGGCCCCTTATCAGAAATAACTTCCCTCTATTTAGCACCACATGGGTAAACAGTAGTGCTTGAGGATCCCAGCCTCTCCCAACACAGCTCCATCCCTCTAAGATGGGTCAGCACCTCCAGGCGGGTGCTTCTCCTGCAGCTTTCCGCTCCTCTCACCTCACAAAGCCTCTTCGAGAGATGATTTCTGCGTGGCAGTCATTCACTGTCTCCCCCTTCAGGCTCAGCTCCTCGCCCTTCACGCACCGGTTACCTGAAACACAGTCCAGAATCAGGCAAGGGGCAAAGTCAACACCAGCTCCACAGGAAGAGGGAGGCATTCAAGTTGCTTCAGGTTTTACTTCTTTGGGCTCCTGAGCAGCAGCAGCATCCCCTGCCTATGACACCATTATCCTGATCCAATCAGAGAGGAAAACAAAGGGACAAATATACTACTTTAGGGACAGCAGACTTAAACCGCCCAAGGTTTAGGGGCAGCGGCCCTTACCAAGTGGTTTCCAGCCCACCACTCCGGGTAGACATGTGGCAGCTCACTAGGAAGGGAGCTGAGGTCCATGCAGGAGTTGTACAGCATGAGGAACCCGTGCTCTGATGCACAGAGCAGCAGCTGGAGCAGGGGTGAAGAGCAGCAGAGCTGCAGGCACCCCTGTGCTGCTCTCACTGTGCCCACAGCACTTGTGCCACCACGCGAGCCCTGCCAACGTTTCCTGCTCTCTCTCCCTGAGGAAGCCTTCAGCAACAGCCATTCCCAGACAGGGAATCCAGCAGGGAAGTGAGAGCTCAGCTTATGCAGGAAGAACCTGTCCGTACCTGTCCCGATGCTGACCACCACTCCCAGGCCCTTGCTGCCTTTCCGCATGATGATGGCAGCCAGGATCTTCCTCCCGAGCAGGCTGTGCTGGATGCGCGCAGTGAGGGTGTTGAAGCGCTGGTGGCTCAGCATAGCCAGCTGATCATGGAGGGTGCTGCCACTCACGGGGAGCTGCAACAGGGGCACAAGAGCAGGGCTGCTGAGAGCTCATGCAATAGAACAGCTGAAGAAGTGGCTGACATGGAGCAGCAGGAACACCGAACACAGGAGCTACGGCAGCGCAAGTGGGGTTGAGTGCATGGACAGCAGAATGTCCAGGGGTGGGTGGAGTTCTTTTAGGTATAGAGGGGGGCTACGAGGATGATCAGGGGCTGCAACTGTAGTGCTAGGACAAGGGGGTGACGAGTTCAAACTGAAACAGGGGAGATTTAGGTTGGAGATAAGGCAGAACTTCTTCCTGTGAGGGCAGTGGGGAACTGGAAAGGGTTGAATGGAGACGCTGTGGCTACCCCATCCCTGGCAGTGCTCAAGGCCAGGTTGAACACAGGAGCTTGAAGCAACCTGCTCCACTAGAAGGGGTCCCTGCCCACGGCAGGGGTTTGAAACTGGATGAGCTTTAAGGTCTTTTCCAACCCATTCTATGCTTCTGTTTCTGGGAAAGCCTTGTCCAACACTTGGAGCCCTGCTCTGAGCACCATCACTAAGCGCCAGCAGCAAGCTGTCCTCCTGGCAGTGAGTGACAAGGGCTGAGGAATGGCCTCCTGAGACTGCCAGGGGAAACCTCCAGCACAAGGGAACAGGACCTGTTTTGTCTGTTCCCAGGGCCTCAGCCAAGGAAATCTGGTACTGGCTTTGAAGGAATTCCTTCTGTGCCCGCCTGTGAGGAGGCTGCAGAGTCCCTCCCATTGCAGCCAAGCTCTTGCCTCCTCTGGCACTGCTGAGTGACAAATCCTCCCTGATGGCTTTTCTATTTAGAGGCACAGCTGCCGTGCTCAGCTGTGCAGCCTGGCACATGGCTCTGAAGAGCTCACACAACCCGGATCTAAAGCAGCACAGGTTTGGAACAGCCATTCCCAACACAGCCAGAGCTTTGCTCTTCTCTGCTCCTGAGGTTTTGAGCTGACACAGATTTTAATGCAGAACAAAGGAACCTGGAAGGAAAGGAGGGGGAAGTCACAGAATTCAAGAGAAGCTGCTTCTGTTCCACCACAGGAACACGTTTCAGGAGCTTATGGAAGAAGCTGATGATAATTCAGCCCTAAAGCAGAGGCCAGCAGGAGGGAGGAGCACGTCTGTGCCCTGAGGAAAAGCCTAACCCACTTCAGGGAAGGCACCTTCTGAGAACAAAGGCCTCACAGTTCATCTTGGAGGCATTTTTCTGCCAGGCTGAAAGCACAGGATGAGCAGAGCTATAAAAGCAGCCCCAGCTTCGGAGGAAGAGGATTTACCTCAGGGATGTTCATCCCTTCCATGCGCTCAATCTTCTCAGTCTCGCCAATGAGGACTCTGAGGGCTGCATCCGCTGCCTCCTGCTTGCCCTGCTTTTTGCTGTGAGCAGTTACAGCTGGGAACCAGCGGCCTCCAACCTTTGCCTGATACACAAACCTGTAACGAGAGCAGCAGAGCTCTGACGAAGCAAGAAAACCCCAGGTTTCAGGCTGGCTTTTAAGCAGAGAGGGGAGTGGAGGTGGCAGCTCAGCCTGGTGCCAGCCCAAACTGCACCAGGAACTGTGCCTGGACCAAAGGAACAGTGCCAAACCTCCTCCTGGGCAGCTGCAGTGACTTACTTGGGGTCATGGGGAGGTCCTGACTGGTCAATGAGCTTGAACTCTGCAGCAAAGCCATTGGAGCGGGCGTACTCCAGCAGACCACTGACAGGGTTGACATTAAGGTATTTGATGAGCTCCCCAACACCCTTTGTTTTTGGCACCTTGGATTCATCCGGAGGGGGAATCCATGGTGCAGAGCTGTGCATGGGCTGGTCACCTTGGGGCTTCACCACAGGCTAGAGCAGAGTTAGGAGAAGGCTGTCAAATACTGAGCAGCTGGAACCACCACAGGCCAAGAGCAACAGCAAACCTCTGCTAGAGCCAGCACATGGCCTTGGGGGGTGAAACCCAGGGGAAGATGAAATAAAGGAAGGGGGGACCCGACCCAAACCACTTGGCTCTTCTAAAGAAGCTCTTTGTACCTGTTCAGGCAAGACACGGGGGACAGACTCTCCAGAAAGAATCTTCACAGCAACTTCTGCTGCCATTTGCTTTGCTCCCTTCTTGCTGTTTCCTACCACAGCAGGGAAAATTTGGTCACCCATTTTCACACAGTAGCTGAACCTGACAGGACATTATAGCATATGAGAAGCATATAAGGAGAGGTGTCTCCATCTGGTTACTATCCCTGTCTCCCCGTTCAAGTTAAGTCTGTCTCCAATTGACATCTACCAGAATGGCCCTAACCATGCCCAGGAGAGCACTACCAGGTAGGGTACAGGCCTGGAACCTATTCCTGCTCTGGCAGATGAAACACATTATTTCTCTGGTGGGTTTGGGCTCTTTCTGGAGGCAGATGTTTGTAGGAGCCATGCTCAAATACCTGGGATCAGAGCAGCACTCGGGCAGGGCAGCGACGAGGCTGGGAACACGGGGAGTGTGCTGAAGAGGAAGGGTATGAAAGATACGTCCCCAAAGCTGACAGCCATCCGCCATACCTGGGATCGTGAGGTGGCCCTTCCTGAGAGAGCAGCTGAAATTCAATGGTGTTGCCAGATTTCTGCCCATACTCCATCAACACGCTGATGGGATGCTTCCCAGGGAGCAGGCTGAGGGGAGCTGCTGCAGGTGAGGGCTCTGGCTCTGGCTCCGGCTCCGGAGGCAAAGGCTACAGCAAGAAGAGGGGAGGAAACCAGCTGCAGCCTAACCACAGCTTGAGCAGCCTCCCAAGGAAAGCAGACAAGACTCACCAGAGGTTCAGAGCTCTCAGAGGGAAAGGGTTCTTCACATTTAATCCCCCCTTGTCTTCCATTTTCTGCTTCACGCATCAGGACCTTCATAGCATTGGCTGCTGCCTCCTGCTTAGCCAGCTTCTTGCTCCCTGCTTCTGCTGGTGGGAAGCGACGCCCATTGATCACTGCCTGGAACTTAAACCTTGGAAAGAGAAGCTCAAAGAGGTAAATCCAGAGGCAGAGGTGTCTCTCAGAGCAAGCACAGCTGCTCTTGGGACTCAGGTGAGAAGGAGCAGCTACTCCTGGCTGGGAGAGCAAACCCATACTGCCACATGCAGAAGACACAAATACTAAGAGGGTCCCAACAGCTCTGCCCCATTCCATGGCACTTCCAGAGCTGCTCAGGACAGAGGAGCAGCTCCAGCTCTTGCTCTGAAGGAACAGGCTGCATCGCCTTGTTCCCAACCCCCAGGAACACATCATGGCTCTATGCAGAGCAGTTGCGTCTCCTGCCCAGAGATGAAGAAAGCTTGAAAGCAGCCTATGCTGTTCCATCCGTACCTGGTCATGCAGGGTCACTCATCCCTCTGGCAGCTTCCCTGCCTATCCAGTGCATTCCCAGCATCCCAGGGAGGTGCTGCCTCACATAAACCTCTTGCCTTTGCTGTTCTCTCTGCTCCCAGTGGAGTCTTAACACAGGCAGTTTCACTCCTGCCCTCCAGCCCAATACAGAGGAGACCTCCTTCCAAGGGTCAAACCATGTGTGGAAAGGGGTTGTGGGGCTGAAGCCGTTCAGCTCCCTCCTTCCCAGCAAAAATGGAACTTCATCTTTAGAAATGAGGCCAATTTTCCTGTCTAGCGGATCCATTGACATGTTCCCATGTGGCACATCCAGCGTGTTTTACCAGCTCAGCAGTGCTCAGGAACAGCCAAGGTTTCACAGGGGCTCCAGGGGCTGACCTGTGTCATGCTACGTGCTCTGCTTAGAGGCCACTCTGAAACAGCCGAAGTGGCTTCACCTCATCCAAGCCAAGAGAGCTGCACCCAAGCACTTTGCTCTGGGTTCTCTTTCTACCCATTTCAGGGGCAGGGCATCCAGAGAGGCAGCTCACAATACCAGCTTCCCTGTAAGCAATCCAAATGAAAACCAAGTGATGCAATCAGATGGGACCTCAAGAGATGAATCCCACCTTCACTGCTCAAAACGAGGGGCAGGGTTGGCAGGACTGGACTAACCAGGACTACACTGGTTAGCCCTGGGTTTCGGGGAGGTTGACTTGGCTTTTTTAAGCTGCTGCAAGGAATCAACTAGACTAATCCTTGTGAAACAAGCATTAAGGAGCAGGGGCTTGGATACAAAGGTGAGGGGCTGAAGTTAGTGGAAGAGCATTTTAAGCAAGAAGACAGCTCAGGAAAGGGAGAAAATGTTCTCACCGTGGCTCGTGAGAGGGTCCACTCTGCTCCAGCATGGCAAACTCACAGTGCTGGTAGGTGTACTGGGAATACTCAGTAAGGCCACTCACTGGGTTCTTCTCCTGACAAGCCAGCAGCTTCTCCACAGGTGTACAAGGTAAAGCAGCTTCAAACTGGGCCGTGTAACTGGGGGAAGCTGGGGAGCTCATGATGGCTTCTGCCTCCTCAGGCTGCTTTTTGATGGAGTTCAGGTTATCTGGGATATCATCCGTGGCCCACTTCCCGTTCTCAGAGTTATCATAGTGACTCAAACTGGAGAACTGGGGCTTTGTGTCCTCAGGCAGGGCTGCTTTCGTGTCACTGCCCTCGCTGTGCTCAGCGTGCCCCGAAGGCTGCTCTCCGTTCTCTGCCCCTTCTCCTCCTGCCATGCTCACTGCTGGGGAAGCTGCTGTCCCCTCCTGGGGGCCTGGAGGAACAGAGCAAGGGGGAAACCCCAGTTCAGGTTTGGGCTCTGCCTTCTGCATCACTGCACTGGCCTTCAGCCTCATCTGCATCCTCTCACGCTTCCTGTCCGTCAGCGACCACCGCGGGGGGCTCGTGTTCTGCTTGTGGACATCCCCCAGCTTCTCCAGGGCGCTGAGGAAGGCGCTGACGTCCTTGGCCCTCGAGAAGCCGATGTTTTTGGCCAGGTTGAGCGCTGTGCTTTCTGCCACGCTGAACAAGTAGTTACAAATCTTGTCCTTGGTCTCCGCCATCGTGAGCTCAGCGTCTCCTGAAGCAGCTGTGCTCTTCTCTCCTCCGCTCTCTCCAGCTGGAGCTGGGCGACCACTGCTGTGCTCAGTGGGGCTCCTCTCCCTCCCTGTGCTGGGGCTGCTGATGCTCCACAGAGGCGGTGTCTCCCCTCCCTTGTGCAACTTGCCTTCTCTGAAGAGTTTATACAGAACACGGTTGACCTCTTTCTTCTGAACTCGAAGCTTCCGTGCCAGCTCATGAACTGTGCGAGTCTCCCCCTCCCTGAGCTGCCTGAAAAGAGTCAGGATTTCCCATTCACAGTCTTGGCCAGCAAGAGAGAGCCTCTGGAAATTGAGCCTGATGCTGTCAGAGCCTCTCTCCGCGTTGCTCTGATGGTGGTACTGAGGAGGGCAACACCGTGGGGAGGGCTTTGCCCAAGGATGCTCACTGGAGGACCAATCGCACCCTGCTCTGCTCCAGCGGAGCTGCCATCTCTCTGCAGGAGCCGGGGCCGCAGCTCGCACACCTCTGATATCCCAGGATCCCTGAAGGGAACAGAGCTCAGTGCCCTGCTCCGCCAGGAGCTGCTGCTGCAGAAATGCTCCCTGGTTCCTTCCTGGGATACGAGGGTGGTTGAGGAAACCTTGGGTAGTGCTGGGCCAGTTCTGCCTCGACCAGGGCACAAAGGAGCCTCTGCCTCGAGCAGTGCCTCTGCTCATAGCGCAGGGCTGGGACCAGTGTGCGGCCCCGGCGGCGGCTGCGCCAGGGCAAGGGGAGCTCTGCTTCGCTCTGTGCCCTCCGTCCAGAGCAAGCACCTGCTGGGGGGAAAGCAGGAACTGAGCCCGTGCTCCAGAGCCAGGCCTGGAACAGCCTCCTGCCACCAGAGCGGCCTCCCCTCGCAAGCCCCAAGAGTACCTCAGCGCCTGCCCGGCACAAAGGCGAGCTGCGGAGCTCAGCCCCAGCCCCAGCCCCAAACCACCGCTCCGATCCCCTCGCATCCGCGCTCAGGGGGGCTTGGTCTGGCCATGATGCATCCCCAAACACACGGGAGCTTCGCTCCTCTGCCCTGAGGGGCAGCAGGATCCCAGCCCCACTTTGCAACCGGAGCAGTGGGGGCAGGAGGTGAAGCAGTTCCTGCGATCACACAGGACAGAGCTGCACCAGGCGGGCTACAGCCTGCAGTGACCCCTTTTGGGGACCTCTTCACAAGCATGGCCTTCCCGACGGAGCCACCTTAGCGCTCCCCACCGCCACCGAATGCACCCCGAGACCACTCACGTTCATCAACAAGCTCATGAGCAAGCTCCACCAGCACCCGGCCCCTGAACTAGCTCTGTATGCGGAGGCGGGTGGGCTCTGTGCGGGGGGGGGGGTGTCCCTTTTCCCAGCTCCTTTCTCTGGGGACTCCGTTGGCCCCGAGCCCCGAGGCAGCGGCAGCACCGGAGACCGGGGTCTGCTCTACCTCCGCCTCACCCAGCACCAGATTCCCTGCTCCAAACGGCCGGGCTAAACCCACCCCTGACCCGAGCGGCGGCGGCGCCGGCGGGAACCGCTGCAAGATGGCTGCGACCTCCCTTTCGGTTTCGGTTCCAGGCCCGGCAGCGCCCGCCCCGCCCCGCCCCTCCAGGAGCGGCCGCGGCTCTGAGCCGCCGGGAGCACAGAGAGCCCGGGGCCGCTCCGCAGCCGGGCGGGCCCTGCCTTGGGAGCTGCCGCCGGGACGAAGCCTGCAGCCCCGAAGGCACCGGAAATAGCCGGTACCGGACCAGCGCGCAGGGAAGACCCCGCCTGGGCCCGGGGCTGCCGCACACGGACACAACGAGTCCCCGCGATGGAAGCCGGGCCGGCGGGACACCCGCGGCCATGGGGGCGGCTCCGCCTCGCACACAAGGCCCGCTCCCGATCCGCTGCGGCCTCCCCAGCGCCCCCTTACCCCCTCCGCTGCCGCTGCTGTCGCCGAGGCCGGCGCAGGCTGATGACGCAACCGAGCGCGCCCTCCAAACCCCCGCGCCTGCGTAGCTCGCATGGAGCCGCGCGGCCGCCATCTCGGTTGAGGGCAGGGCAGGGCAGGGCAGGGCGCGGCGGCCATGTTGACCGCGGGCACTGCGGGGCCTTGCCGGGCCGGCGGCGGGAGGGGGGCAGCGGCCGCTCCGCTCCGCTGCGCCCCCGGGCACCGCACGCCGCAACCGGGAGCACAGAGCAGCGGCCTCAGCCCCGCAGGGGCGCCTGAGTCCGAGGGAGGGGCGATCGGGGTCCTCTATGGGCCTCGCCACGTGGGGCTCCTCCATGTGATGCAGAGGGATGACCAATGTACAGGGGGGTTGTACAGGGTCATGTGATGCAGAGGGATGACCAATGTACACGGGGGTTGGAGGAATTCGCTTGCCTAGGCAAGGTATTGTCTGTTGTAAATGCCTACTAAGCAGAACAAAGACACCTGGTCCTATTGATAAGGAAAAGCAGACACCTGGTTCTATTGAAAAGTAGCTATTGATAAGGAAAAGCAGAGCCATGATACTGATAAGTAGCTATTGATAAGGAAAAGCAGAGACATTCTATTGATAAGTAGCTATTGGTAAGGAAAAGCAGATACCTGATTCTATTGATAAGTAGCTACTGATAAGGAAAAGCAGAGACATTCTATTGATAAGTAGCTATTGGTAAGGAAAAGCAGATACCTGATTCTATTGATAAGTAGCTATTGATAAGGAAAAGCAGAGACATTCTATTGATAAGTAGCTATTGGTAAGGAAAAGCAGATACCTGATTCTATTGATAAGTAGCTATTGATAAGGAAAAGCAGAGACATTCTATTGATAAGTAGCTACTGATAAGGAAAAGCAGATGCCTGATGCGGGGGAGAAGTAGATGGTTTATGGCTGGGGCACCGCCCAAACCCTAAGGCCATACGTGAAGACTAAAAGGTGACAGGTTCAAGAAGAGGAAGACTCACTGACTTCATCTTGAAGACCCCTACCCACAGGAGGAAGACTCATTGACGTCATCTTGAGACCCCTGCCCATGACCAGAGGGGGCACTGCGCAGGCGCAAAGGACCTCCTAGGTCATTATAATACGAAGCGGGGATAGAATATGAATGTGTACAGGTGTATGGTGCAACCTTGTGACTTTAGAGGATAAATGTAGAGGGAAACAACACTGAGGAACGGCACGCAGGACTTTATCACATGGTCCCCCCTGTGCCTCGTTTGACAGGGTGGGAGCTGGACTGGAGGAGGGAGGGCTCCTGAAGGGGAGCCCCCAGAGCAGCTCCAGTGCCTAAAGGGGTGCAGGGAGCCTGGAGAGGGGCTTGGGACAAGGGCCTGTAGGGACAGGCCAAGGGGAATGGCTTGAACCTGCCCGAGGGGAGACTGAGCTGAGCTCTTGGGCAGAAGCTCTTCCCTGTGAGGGTGCTGAGGCGCTGGCACAGGGTGCCCAGAGAAGCTGTGGCTGCCCCATCCCTGGCAGTGCTCGAGGCCAGGTTGGACACAGGGCTTGGAGCAAGCTGCTCCAGTGGAAGGGGTCCCTGCTCTAGATCCGCTTTAAGGTCCTGTCCCACACAGCCCATTCCATGATTCCCTGTGTGCCCTCCAACTGTGCTGGGCCTCTGCTGTCTCCTGCAGGTCCCTCCACCCCCCGTGAGCCCCACATGGGCCCCCTTTCCCCCCCCATTTCAACACACGTTAACTCCAGAGCTGCCCCTTCAGCCAAGACCCGACTCCCCCCCCCCCCCCCCCCGGCTCCCGCTGTCCCAATCCCCAAGCCCTGGGTCTGCTCCCTCCGTTGGTGTGGGCTCCAGAACAGCTTGCTCCTGCCTGCAGAGCTCCGTGTGTCAGGCACCCGCTAGGGGATGGGTGCAGCTCCGCCTGCCCCTGCTTGCCCACGGGGGGGCAGAGCACATGGGGACAAGCTCCTCAGAGCACCGCGCTCCCCACCAGCAGCTCTGCTTGGCCCAGAGTGGTGCTGGCGGTGGCTGCGTGCGCCTTCAGGTGGGGTCCCCACCCTGCGCCCCCCACGGCCGCTTCCTTGCCTCCATGTGCAGACATTCCCAAGGGAGGCACTGCAGGCACGCAGAGCGGGTGAGTCAGGCCCCAGCGCTGCCAGTGTCAGGGTTTGATTTTGGTGTGTTTGGGGCTGTCATGGAGCCTCCTTGTCCCCGAAGGACCCCTCCCACCGGCCGAGATGGTCACAGCTTCATCCCCAAAGGGGTTGGAAGCGCAGCCCCCGTGCCGGGGCTGAGGCTGGTGAGGGTCAGGCGCTCCCCGTGCCCCCGAGCAGTGCCTCCCACCCGCGCTGCTGAGGCAGGGCTGACTGCAGCACCGCCATCAGCTCCTCAATCTGTTCCTTTCTTCTCTCCCCCATTTAATTGCCTGGGATCACTCCTCAGCGTTAACCCTCCTCGGTGAGCGTGATTCATCGTGGCTGCTGCTAAGGTGCTGCTCTGCGCTGCATCGCCACGATCCAGCCTGCCCATGGACCCAGCCGGGGCCATAGCTCCTCTGGGATTGCAACACCCGCAGTGTGCTAGCAGCCACTTCAGCGATACGAGTTCATTCTCCTTTCCCCTGCTCTATGGAAAACTGGGCAGGCTCCAACCTGTTTCCATAGGAACGGGCTGGGAGAGCCGAGGGCTCTGCCACAGCCACAGCGCCTGCATCCCGCTGGCAGCGCTTCCCAAGCCCGCGGCCACGGGGAGCCCGTTTGTGCTGGAGCGGAGGAGCTGCCGGCTGGGAACCGGCCCCAGCGTTACCGCTGCGGGGGCCGGGGGAGGATGGGCAGGGCTGGGAGCAGCATCCCCCGGTGCCGGGGCTCCTCCTGCTCCCCAGAGCAGAGGCTCCGCTTCCCCGGGCTGAGCAGAGGCTTCCCCGCGCGATGGCAGCATTCGCTCAACGTCCCTGGCCGGCGGGAGATGCCTCAGGTGTCTGCTTTGTTTCGCCTTCGCTCTTACGAAATAAGGAGAGGAACTGGGTTGTGGCACAGCTCCCCCGCCCGATGCGCTGTTCAAATGCCAGTTCTCGGCTCAGGCCATTGTTCCGCCGAGCTTCGTCTCAAACTGCTTTATTAGACGCTGGAAAATAGCTTTTCCCTGCTCGCAGAGCTAGCCCGGTCCTCCAAGGGAGATAAAAGCTGAGGGTTTGATTGCAAAGGGGACATTCTGTTACCCTTTTAAAGCACGCTGTGATTGAAGGCAGTCCTGGGAGCGGTGTATTCTGAGCCTTGCCTGTGCCTGCTCCCTTCCAGCCCAGGGGCAAGCTCTGGTTTCAGGCTGCAGGAGGCTCAGTCAGGTCCTGGCCCTCCTGCAGTGCCCATTGAGCGCTCCAGGCTCTGTGTATGTGGAGCGAGGAACTGGGCTGAGACAGCTCCCTTGTCCTCCCAGCGCTGCCCTGGTTTGTGCCCGGCTGCAGAGGCCCAGCGGGGAGCCGAGGTGGAAAACCTGCCTGGAAACCCTGCACAGCTCCAGCGCCTTCACTTGCCTTTGGAGGGGGAACAGCCGTTCTTCTCCTCCAGCAGGTCTCCGTACAAGCACGGTGCAGGCAGCACACAGGAAACGCCGCCGCATCCCGAGCCCGGGGCTTCTGTCTGGGCACCACAGGCAGGGGCTGCTTCCCACAGAGCCGCTTTTTACCCCCTCCTGCCCCCAGGGGCTGGCTCCCACCTGGGGAAGCGGCAGAGCGGAGCAGGGCACTGCGCAAACTGCTTCTCTCCGCAACGGAGTGACCCAGCCCCGGGAGCTGCCATGGCTGCGCTGCCGAGGTGATAGCAGCCATTACTCATCCCCTCGTGCAGAGCACAGGGGAAGGGGAGACTCTGCCACGGCTCCTGGCACCTC